TTGTCACATTCTTTGCAGGTAACAGACACACAACATCTTTTGTGTACTTCTTTCCGGGTTTTGGTTGACATGTTGCAGAACGTTTACGTTTACTTCTACCCCCAGCATTCAAAGCCTGCATGCCATTACCACCAAAAAGTGATGGAAGTGGCCCTACCTGAAAGATTGTAGTTCATAATTAAGGTTAAAATGACAAATTTAATGGCCAGGTATAGCCTTTAAAATAATTATGATAATTAACTTCAGATATAGGAATTAATATTCCTACATGTACTGTAATTCTTAAAAATCAGATATATACAGTATACATTCTGCAGTTAAAAGGTTACAAGTTACAAGGGCAAACTTACAAGGTTCAGTTGACCACGTTGTGTTTGTGTTAGCGTTCTTTGTCTGGTTGGCTGATATCAGGGAGAAACAAAAATTATGGAAATGCATTAGATGGTCTATAGGGTCAAATATTGCATAGGCCGAGGAATGGCTCTGGCTCCAGTGCCCCTGTCGTGTGCTAATTTTCATCATAGAGTAATCACAGTTGAGTGTTTTGTCCCCTCCAAGGAATTACTAAAATATTTCCATCATTTCAGGGACTAGAAAGTGGCGGCATGTCTATACACATAAATTTATTAATTATTAATATACCAACTAACCTGTGGCCGTGAGCGATTTACAGGCTGTTGTTGCCTTCCTTCTACCGCTGGTATATCTGAAGGCTATATTGGCAAAGAAAGCCTTATATATAAATATATATTACACTACAACGTAGCAACGAATAATACTCTTCGGCGAATATATTACAATACAATAATAATTAAATATTCATACGAATGGTATGAATTAAGCATGATGAACAATGAATATTAATAAGAGTTTGTCTTTTAATAAGAGCTTACCGGTGCATCTTCACGCCTTAACGTCGTTTCAATTGCCCTTCCGATAGCCTCGGTTAACGATCTTGCCAAACTATCTGAGTTAGCCATAAAAAAAGGGACGGGAAAGCAGTAAAGAGTAAAGACCTTTGATTGACCACAACGTTTTACAATTGACGCGCGAAAATAGCCGGAAGAAACTGACAATCGGCTCCCCAGAGCGGGTTGGCAAAATGGACTTTGCCCAGTACGTCATCTGCCTCGCCAAGTGTCCAAAAATTATTTTGGTTATTTAATATAACCAAATTAAATAATGTCGGCAAAGTGGTTATTTAATATATAACCAAAATTGATAGTGTCGGTGAAGGTGGTTATTTGATATAACCAATTTAAATCATGTGCACGAAATCTGGTTATTTGATATAACCAATTTATATTTTGTGCATCAAAACTGGTTATTTGATATAACCAATTTACATTTTGTACACAAAAACTGGTTATTTGATATAACCAAAGTGTATTATTGGTTATTTAGTATAACCAAATAAATCATTAAAAAAACAACCCTAAAACCGATAAATAATAAAAACACATTTGGCGCCCCATAAGGCAAGCATTGCGGGCACCGCATTTTAGTACTGTGTCTGGTTGCATTCAAATTCATGTTGGCCGTGTAACGGTTTGCATTCAGGGATTTTTATATATATATCTGCGCTTTGTAGGTAGTGCCAGTCTTCTTATAGTTTATTTTTTTAAAACGTATAGTACACATTTTCACTAAGGGCCTGTTTATATGATCCCGTCTAGCCGGGATGGGATGTTTTCATCCCGCTTAGCCGGGAAACTCGCCTAGGCGGGATGGCGTGTTTATATGGCATATAAACACTAATTAGTGTTTGTATTACAAGCGGGATCTCGGAAACTGTCCCGTCCCGGCTAGGCGGGATCATATAAACAGGCCCTAAATTCGCTCCCTAAACCTTTCTTTGCATTCATATTTATTAACCGTGTTTCTTGAATCGTGGCTGATCGTTTGTAAAATCGTGGCTGATTTTATAAAATATAAATCAAAATATAAATTAACCTTGTAAAATGATGCGTAAATTCGTCGTCAAAGATAAACGTTGAGAAAAAACCGTGTTTCCCCCCCTCCTTTTTTCGAGTTTTTGGAAGTTCCCAGCAAGACAAAGGGTTCAAACCACAGAATTATTGTAGTTCATTATAAAATACATCTATAATGCAGGATGTGTGAAAATAGGGCAGCAATGTACACAAAAAATTGCCTTTGCAAATGAAAAAAATTGATGGGTTGTTAGCCCCAGTCCTTTTTTATCCCAGATTTCTTCAATATATTTTAATTAATATTATTTATTTAATATGAAAAAGTCCAAACAGCATTAAATTTGTATTTCAGAATAAGTATGCCATACAACTGTGTTGTATGTAGAAGCAGTTAGCAGAAGTAAAGAATACAAGGAAAATGAACAAATTGAGCAAGTTGCATACCACAGGTAAGTTCACAAAATTCACAAAAATAGATAAAAACTTTAGATTTATTATTTTTAGATACACAAATGGACTTATAATACATAAATATTTCTTAAATAAGGTTCCCCTTAGAAAATAAAGAGAATTTTGAAAAATGGGAACAGGTAGTCAAGAGAATGAGAAAGGATGTTGAATGCTGGAGTCCTGGAGAGCAACAAAACATAGTTTCCTTTGCAGTAAGCATTTCGAAATCAATGATTACATACAGCCTCCAAACTCAACTGGTTCATGCCCTCATTATTATCATCATTATCAATTATTTTTCAACAACATATCAGCAACAAGCCGATTGAAGCAGCCAGAAAATAACTGACGTGCTGGAAGCAAGAGATGTCAGCTATCCCAAGAAGAACCATCATTTGCGAAAGTTCAGATAAACATGAGCTACGAATCTAATCTACTAAAAATCTTCAAGAAAGCGGTGGAGAGTGCAGAAATATCGAAGAAGCAATTAAAGTGTAAAGTGAGAAATTTACAGCAACAACTCCGCAGATGCAAAACCAAACTATCCACTATGTCAGATACTCAGATATCATCAATAATCTGCAAGAAAACCTAATTGTCAAAACTGAAATTGCTGACCGACTCCATGCATCATTTGACAAACTCCAACTGTCTATTTTTCATAATGTAAAAAATAATAATGTTACCTCTCCAAATGGCAGAAAATATAGTGATGACATCAAAGAATTTTCTTTAACTTTATATTTTTACTCTCCCAAAGCATATGATTATGTGCGCTCAATCATACCATTACCAAACCCATCGCTCATAAGAAAGTGGTCGAGTTCAATTGATTGTGAACCTGGTTTCATTGATGAAGCATTCCAATCTTTGAAAGCCGAAGTAGATAAAACACCTGCCAAAAAGATTGCTCCTTGGTGATAGATGCTATGTCCATTAGAAAACAAACACTTTGGGATCCAAAAAAGGAGAAGTGTTTAGGATTTGTAAACTTTAGCAGTGTTTACACTAGAGACCTATACCTGACCTAAGACCTAACTTAAGCAGTTAGTCCTGTAGTGTAAACGCACTAGGACTGACCTAAGACCAACCTAGGACCGACCTAAGACCATGATTTCAGGCCAAGCATTAGAGGTGGCCTGAAAACATGGTATTAGGTAAGTCCTAGGTAAGTCTCGGGTCAGTCTTGCGGTGTAAACCATTTTCATTAACCCAAGTGTGATGGAAGCTAATTTCCATGACAACAAACGTAAATTCGAGTCTTTGATGTCAGCATTTAGCGGTCTTGAAATTTTAGCGCGATTTTGAAAAAATTAGGGGGAAATTCAGAGTTGATAATTAACTACATTGCGAATTTCGGAACTTGCCGATAAGTTATATCATACATTTTTTAATTTTGCATGAAATCGTTGTTTGCCATTAATCCCAGTAATCACTACGTCGTATTCTTTTACGAGGCTTTGTAGTTTGTACGAAATAAACAAACAAAGAACTGCAAGCTTATTTTAATACTCTTCTCAAAGTACTTTATGTTGCGTGTATGTATATAAGTCCCGTTAGGTAACTGGTGTATAACACATCCTGTAAAACTTGTTTAGGTACTTCTCAGGTACGGGTAAATGTCAGGTAAATGCCAGCCCCTTCGTGTAAACACGGCTTATGGCCCTAAACCACCAGAGGATCCAGACATGCTTCATGCTTGCAACAGAAGCACTTGTTTTTCTTTTAGTTGGAACACGTACCAGCAAATTGAATGCCTCACTTCAAGCACAACTAGTTAGGATGGCTCTTGAAAAAACAGCTGATGTGGAATTACGAGTATGGACACTAACATCCGATGGTACATCCGTCAATATTAGCACATTTGAACAATTGGGCTGCATATTTAGTACCACATATGAATCCATGGTCACCAAATTCAAGCACCCATCAAAGGACTACTATGTTTACATCATTTTAGACCCTTGTCATATGTTGAAACTCGCCAGAAATGCTTTGGGAAGTATTGGATCCTTCTTTGATAACAATGATAGCGAAATCCAATGGGTGTACTTCCATAATTTACATAATCTTCAGGAAGCTGAAGGTCTGAAGTTGGGTGACAAGTTTTCATCACAACATCTGAAATATGAAAAACATAAAATGAATGTGAGGTTAGCAGCACAAACATTAAGCAATTGAATTCATTGATTTTGGAATGCAGATGCCACAATTTAAAAACAGCAAGGCCACAGTTACCTTTATTAGAATGATTGACCGAGCTTTTGACATTCTAAATTCAAGGAACCAAATTGGACAAGGGTACAAACAACCCCTAAGACCCTCATAAAAAAAAAAACATGGGAACCTATTCTCAAATCTACAGCAGATTATCTCCTGTCACTATACTACTATTCCACCATTAAAAAAAAACATGAAGAAGAAAAAGTTCCTCTCAACAAACAGGAGAAAGATTTTCATAATTGGTTTTGTTGCAACGATAAAATCAACGATTGAAATGGCAAGCGAAATGTTCTCGATCACTGAAATCCTTTCAAGTATCCGTTCTCACGTATAGATATTCACAAGACCATGTAGAGTTATCGTTCTCATGCATTAGATCTAAAGGTTGATGGAATAACAACCCTAACAGCTTGCAACTTAAATATGCGTTGAGGAAGATGCTCTTCAGAAATGCTGTCACAGCCTCCAAACATGCCAACTGCATTGAATTTTCCGAATTTCCTCATCGATAATTCCAATTTTTCACCAAAGAAAACACAATTCTCCTCTGATTGAAGAGAAGACTGAAGTCAAAGATATCAACAATTTCACCCCATCAGAACAAATGCTGCTAGAGCAGTTGGACCAAGGAGGGCATTCTGAGTTTATTGAAAATATTTTGTTCTACATTGGTGTTGGTGGGTTTGTCGTTAAGAAAATATCGAAGTCCGTTACCTGCACAGCTTGTATAAGCAGCCTCACATCCAGTTTCAGCATACCAACACAAAACATGCGTGATTACTGTGGCTCAAAATCAGCAAGAAATCCTTGTGATCCACCTGCTTCAGCCTTCACACAGTTTGAAAACCGGAGTGGTTTGACCAATCCATTGAAATCGGTCTTCCCCGTTTTCAAATACGCGGAACATGTTTTTAAAGCGATTGTCAGCAAGGATGGGAAACAAATCAGTTCGAACGAAAAATTACGCAGCAAAATGATCTGGGAGGTCTGCCATCACTTCATGGCAGATGAATGTTGTCGATCAACTGTCTTCGCTGATCACAAACCCGGATTAAATGGCATTCATGACAACCATAGAGTGAAGCTAATTAAATACCAGGGGCGGATCTAGGGTAAGTCCAGTCAGTCGCGCGACTTACGTATTTTTGGCAGTAAAAATGATAATTAAATATTCAAATTTATCTTGAAATATGAATAATTAACCCTTTCAAGATTGTAATAAGAATTAAAATCATAGTCCAGTTACAGCGTTCAGTTTCAAAAAAGCAATATTCTTTCATCCAGAGCAGCGGTAAAACGCAAAAAACTCGCAGAATCGGGTGGGTCAGCCGGCTCATTTGATTGGTCGATAAGCCATTTGGACTTATCTCGACTGATTTGTGGGGTGGCCGGACTGATTTGCATCCTTAAGGGGGCCAAATCAGTCCATTTCTTGCATTGCGATTGGTCAGTTTGAATTTACCGGACTTATCTCGACTGATTTGCGGGGTGGCCGGACTGACTTGAACTTTAAACGGGGTTCGATTGCTCTGTCTTCAGAATGATAAAATTGCAAAATTGCAAAATGCAAACGAAGCCAGGCTCTTTACTTCCAATATTCCGTTATACGAAGGATTACAACTTTATTGTTGGAAAATTCTGTTAATACGCGGACATTCGAAGCAGGATTTTAACTTTATCGTGGAGCAGCGATTTCATGCGAGCAATTTGTTGATGTTAGACTTCAATAGACGAGGGAATTAATCACGATATCCCTGCTGAACATGAAAACTAAGACTGTGTTGGTAAGAGAAACATTTAAAATGGATATAATATAAGAAATATGGCAATATACCTAAAAATATAATGATTTAGGAGTGTTCCATGTGACAAGTTCGTTCACAGTTATTGATTTCATGCCGCTTTGTTGTGTATAAACCTGATCAATTATCAATATAGTTTATATATCATAATCTTCCTAGTTCGTATGCTCATAATATTATGGTTATAAAACTTATCCCGTCGTAAAATGCACTAGAATGGATAAGCCTACTTACTCAACAGTCAACACTCGTTAGAGTGTTTGATGATTTGCATTATATTGAAGTTTGCGATGCATATTATAATATTCGCGACTATTTATAGCATATTATGTTTGTTATGATTAGCCTGGTTTTGTAAAGTTCTTGCACGCCTAAGCATCTTACGCGAAGCAATGGAAATATTTCTGTTTATTTCATTTGAGGATATTGTTTAATTTGTGTTAAATCAACTATTGCTATCATAAGGGGATAATATATGGGAGTACGAAGTTGTGTGTTTTGAAATATGACCCTCGCCAGCTCTGTTAATAACCGGAATCTAGTATGTCTTTCCTGGGCATTGTGATGAACCCTAAAATGAGCCGAAATAATCAAAATTCCGCTCTGCCGATTAGAAAAATTTTCTCAAAATTTCCCAATTTGGACTTATGTTTGAAAAATCCTAGATCCGCCCCTGTTAAATACACGGCCGACTGATATTTTACGTTTCGTCTTTTCACGTACGGCAAGCATCATTCCGAGTCCCTTATACAAGAAGGCAAACCTAGTGAAAGATTTCAATTAACAAAGTTAATTTTATTCAAAAATCAGTGAAAAATCACTTGATATTCTTATTTAAACGGATAATTATACTTATCTTTTGATAAAACAAAGATTTTCACTACAATTGTATTCTGTTGTTGTTGAAATCGAGGTTGAAATTTGAATATATCTTTGTGAATTTGTCAAATAAATTTTCCTCAGAAACAGTTGATCGTCTTCTTTCTTGAACAATATTTCCCTGGCCTGATTGCTTTTCATTTGCATATGACGTTTTTATCGGCCAAATGCAGAAAAAATGCATGAAAAACAGAAGAATAAAACACAAAAAAATATCATTTTTTTCGAACACGCATTTCAAGTCATGCGATCCAGCAACGAACACGAGAACGTTTAACGGAGGGGGGAAGTCATTTTCGCGGGAGTTTGGCTTCAACCAATCATAAGGCAAATCTTAGGAGTTAGCCTTCCAGATTTTATTAGAGTTCACTGGGCTTGCATGTATGACGTAATCACTGAAGTTATCTCAGTTACCTTAATTTAGATTTCATGAAGTTCTTCTTGAATCTTAAATCTTGAATCTTGAATCTTGATATTCAATAGAGCCTTGGAATGAAAGATGAAAGCTGTAGCCGTTTTGTAGTTCAAATGTACATATGAATCAATGACTCGAGGCACTTGGTATACTTTAATGATATGGAATGGTTTATAAGGTGAGTGGTTACGTGTTTTCAGTCGATAAATTTATACGCCTGTTTATGTATTGTACGGCTGTTTTATATGGCTATTTGATCTTTAACATTAATTAAACAGAAATAGAGAAATTGCGTTTCATTAGGGTTAAAGGATATTAGCAATGATAGTTTTCTTGGTCTTGGAAATGAGATCGAAATCTCTGTTACAAGATTTTTATATCTTATTTACTTCTTCGTGAATATTGACTAAAGATATTGACTGACAATTATGTATCTGTCAAAGATTTTGTATTTAAACATTAACGTTTTAGTGGCGCTCTAATTACATGTTTAACTGGGGGTGGGTGTATATTTATGTATTTATCATTTAACATCACAAGTAGTTTATTTATATGAAACATGTGCTATGAATTTTCACACCATTATAGTAAGGGAGGGTCAATTTATAGGAGGGTTTATATATACATTTCTGTAAAAGATGTTGATTAATAAAAATCTCTTACAAACCACCTTTTCAATTATGTCAGGCTACAATAGCAGATAGTTTGCACAACTGTATATCCAGATATCAAAAGACTCCAACTATCCTGGAGAAACTACCCGAGGGAAATAGTGAGTTGTTTTCCCAAAAGTCTAACACTCGAGGGAAAACATTGAGACTCAAGGGAAGACAAAACTCACTATTTCCTACATTAAGTGCTTAAATGTTATGTAGGAACAAAAACATACATGTTACACAACAATTTCGTTTAAAAAAAACAAATTACTTTGTTATGACAATATGCAACAATGCCAGGGAAACATTGCATTTATTTAAAATCATGTGACTATGAATGAACCAATCACATTTAAAATGCATTGCATTTATATAACAATTAGAAATATATTCCTTAGAGATATATTTTCTGACTATGAATGAACCAATCACATTTAAAATGCACAACACCTATATAACAAATAAAAATATATTCCTTAAAGATAAATTTTCTATTCCTGTGTTTTCAACTGGAATATTTATTTTGCTAACCTGTGCACCAACTATGGCCTGGTTTATACTATACCTCATTTGCATGGTCACAGTGTCAAAATTAGACATGTCAAAGTGCGTTTCACCCCCCAAAGGTTGATAGCATGCCAGCTTTTATAACATGATGTGCCAAATGAAAATGTTCTGGAGATAAAACAACTTCACCATATGAATCCAGTGTAGTGTAAACAGGGTCTATGATAAGGAATTTTGCTTTGAACTAATCAACAAACTTGTTTACATTGCTTTGGCTAAGCGAGTTAGAATGTCTAAATTTATAATACTTCATTTAAATATTAAAGTGGTTAATATTTGTGCATTCTGATTGGGGTCACTAAAAATAGAAACAAATTTTATGATTGGTCGAAAACGAGATTCCTCCTTGTTATCTATAATACTAATAGCGTAGTCCATATTTTGACTCAGTGTGCTTAAATTGTGCTTCGGGTGGTTATGTTTTTCTCATTTCAATACGTTATTTAGCAAGAGTAAGAGGAAATATCCAATCAACGATGAGCAAAAAGAAATTAAACCGTACATGGAAAAGAAAATTTATGAGAATCTTAATTTAACAAAAGAGGAAATAAAAGAAATTGTTGTTCTTCCTGCTGGCATGGATATAAACGAATGGCTAGCTACACACAGTAAGTTTGTTTGTAAAGCTTTTACAGCAATTCTTTGCAGGGGTTTTGAGAGGATGAGTGGGCTGCGGGGAAATCTTTTTGTCTGGACCTTATCCATATTTAAAGTTCTACTGTTCGTTGTGTGACATATGCAAGCACAGTTATTAGAATATACATGGTTTGGAGGCCAGATAAAACTACAATGCATCTCATTAACTATGTTGAGGTACATTTATGCAAAAAATTGTTCCTTTCTCATCACATGTCTATTGTATTTTGCACAGATAAACCAACATAGCAATCTTATGATTTATATATTTTTCAAGTCAAGGTTGATGAGCTTAGCAACTGCCAAGACGAGTGCCATTGGTAAATTTTGCTAAAATACAATAGACACGTGACGAGAAAGGAACCATTTTTTGCATAAATCTGGACAATAACATAGTTAATGAGTTGTATTGTGCCTTTATTTAGTGTCCAAACCATGTATATTCTATTAACTGCGATGCAAGCCAATGTGTTAAATGGGGTAATTACCCCTTTCCCCTACCTCTCGATGCCATTGATTCTTTGGTCTAATTTTATTTCATGTACACATCCAGATTAATGCATGTAATCTATGAGCTATGACGTTGGTGAAATTTGAATATTATTATTGATTTCAATCTTACGCGGTTACGAGAAGATATGGATTTTATGTTCGAGTGGCAAAAACAAACGAGTGAGATATTGTTTTTGACACCAAATAAAATACATATCTTTGAGCGAACCATGCAATGTTCTGTATATTATATGAACAAACATTAAAAGAAACTCAATAATGAAACGAAACAAAGCGGGAAAACTCGCGTGACTAAACACACGCATTACATATATGAGTCTTTTAGTTTTCTGTAAATCATCTATGTCCATATAGGGAAATTATTCATTTGAGGTATAATTTAGTTGGTCAAATATGTGTCAATTAATTTATAGGTCATAGGTTATCAAATATGTAGGGTGGTGCATGAGTATCTAGAGAGAGAATCGTGTAAGTCGTGATAGTGAGAGGATGGTTTATCTGTGATCCGAATAATGAGGAAAAACTAACGTGTGTGTGTGTGTTGGATTGCCTCTAACGGCAATTCCTGTCACAAGTGGCACCTCTGACAGGATATAATTCTCCGACGCTTTGGCTGGACAATCATGTCCCCCGGCGAGAAAGTGAACATCGATAACATGTTTCTAACTCAAGTTCATCGCGAACATTACGAACATTTGTTTAGGCTGGATATATTAGGCTTGCAAGACTCCGCAACTGGTGACCAAAAGAATGTTTACAGTGAATTTAAGGAACAATGATTTAGAAGTAAAGAAGGCTGGTACGAAACCAGTCTTGTAGAAGGGAAACCGTCCCCCATTGCCAAGCAACAAATCTGGGAGCTTAACGCATTTGATTCTTGAATACACTGGTGAGTAAGTTAGAGAGACAGAACCTGGAAATTACGAGATTATAAGAGAACAGATAAAGGAAGGTATCCTAGAGAAAACTGATAAGGAAGTACAAGGTAAAGAGTTTTACTTACCCCCATAAAGCTGTGATAAGAGAATCAACAGAGACCACAAAGCTTAGAATTGTGTTTGACGCATCGGCACGGGGAAACGACGCTGCACCTTCCTTGAATGAGTGTCTCGAGACAGGAAAACCCCTTCAGAACCACCTTTGGCAAGTATTGGTGGAAATAGATTCCACCTGGTGACGTGAACCAGGCATTTCTTCAAGTTCGCATACGAGAAGAAGACCGGGACGTCATGCGGTTCCACTGGTGCAACGATCTAAAATCAGGGGGGATTAACCCTTCGCTTTACGAAAGCCTTATTCGGACTATCCCCCTTTCCCATTCCTTCTCGGTGGGTGATTCAACAACACCAGCAGTAACACGAGCAACAAACGAAAAGCGAAACAGTCGAAATAGCTAAATCACTCAGAAGTAGATATTCAACGATGCAACGTTTCAGTTTGAACTGCATGGCATTCCAATGTGCCTGAACTCGAAGCAGAAGAATCACATACGTCATCGCTGACAGGGAAGACGTTCGCGAAACAACAGTTGGGAGTCAAATTGGGACGGCTCTTCTCGGTCTTCCCTGGGACAAGAAGCAAGATGCTATTAACGTCAGCATACCCACAGAGAGAGCTGAGCCGACGAAGCGAGGAGTCCTTGGTAAGATCGCGAAGATTTACGACCCCTTTGGGCTGATATCACCGGTGACGTTGGAAGGAAAATTCTTTAACCGGGACTGTCGTTACCCGAAACTGTCTTGGGGCGAAACTACCCAACAAACTAGAGATAAGGTGGTCAGCATGGAAAAGCAACCTTTCGGATCATGTAAATGTCCCAAGAATTTCGCCAGATTCCACGAGCCAATCCAAGAAATCGAGCTCCACACCTTTTGCTATGCAAGTTGACAAGGAGTCCCGGCTACAGTAATGGCAGTCGTTTGACAACCGAGTAGTATCACCCAAGGTCTAGTTGTCTCAAAGTCGCGGTTGGCCAAAAAGAACCTTACCATGTACCTCGTCTGGAACTCTTGTTCGCTCACATGGCCGCTAACCTAGTCGACAATTTTCGGAAGGCGTTGGAAGGATTGATCTGTGTGATGTGTTCGGTTGGTTAGACAGCACGGTAACTCTCTATTAGATACCTGAAGGTGGTGATTTAAAAGAGTTCGTGAGCAATCATGTGCGGAAGATTCAGAAGTAGAAGTTCATCCAATTGAGACATGTTCCCACCCAAGAGAATCCTGCCGATCTTGGAAGTAGAGGAGGAAGCGTCAGCGGTTCTAATTGTCTTTGGTGGAAGGCCCAGAGTGGATGGCGGCCAAAGAGAACCGGCCAGCAGATTTTGTGACAAGCCCTAACAAAGAGAGTATAGCAGTATATTCTGCACACTGTAATTCAGAAACCGGACGTGTTATTCAGAAACCGGACATATTGGAAAAGTGTATACCTTTCGAAAAACCCTGGGAATATGTGAATGGATCTCACGATTTATCCGTAACGCTGGGAACGTGAAGAAAAGCAAACATGGTCCTTTGTCAACTGGAGAGGTAAAAGAACAAGAGATTTGGTGGCTAGCGAGGGTACAACAGAGGAACTAGAATTTACCCGAATTCGAAGAAGATCGTGCGAGGCTCAACCTGACATTCTTGAATGTCACGGTCGCATACAAGGAGACTACCAGACAACGACTTGTACACAGAGAAACTAGTAGAGCACTCCCACGGGGGGTGGGGCTGACGATGTCGAAAGTGCGACAGAGATACTGGATTCCACCAACAATATAACTCAAATAATTTATTATAATTCGATTCAATTAAATTCAAATTACATCACTTCGCTTGTCAATTTCGGCGTGAGAAGTACCGTGTTTCTATTTAACAATTAGTCGCCTCAGGCTTGTTGATCACAATCCTATATTGAGCCAAAGGAGAAGTTTTAGTATAAATTTCGACGTGACTATTGTTTTTTGCATTCTTTTTGGTCAAAATTTACTGTCCTTGAAGTGGTAGTCACTGGCCGGTGACTATAGCTGTTTTTTTGTTGTTTTTCAAATAAGAAATTTGAAGTAATTATAATTTTTTCGAAATTATGTTGATTATTATTTGCAAACACCTCGAAATTTATACTAAATCAAGTAGTCGCCTCAGGCTCGGTGATAATAAGCCTATATTCACTCCGCCTTCAGCTCAGGGAATATAGGCTTGTAATCACCGAGCCTGCATGAGTCGACTAATTGTTATTAGTATAAACTTACTAATAGGCTATCACTTTTCCTGCGTTCTGATTGGCTACGCTACTAGTAGGCTATTAGTGATAGCCTACTAGTAGCAAAATTCAAAACAATGGCGGAAAATTCGCGTTTCGCCGAAGTATCTGAAGATTTTTTGGACGACTTGTTGGACAATTCCGTACCAGAAAAAACAAAAAAAGCAACAAAATACGGAATTGCAATTTTTAAGGGTAAGAAAATACATAAAAATAACGTATACTCAATTGAATTTTTATATTTAAACTGAATTTTAAAACATTTTACGCGAACAACAATTAAAATATTTTCTTCCCTTTAATATACGAAATAAATTTCAGAATGGTTTGCAAGCCAACAAGAATTTTGTACACAAATTAAAGAAATGGAAAAATTAATGTTATAGTTTATACTAAAACAATTAGACAACTCGGCCTCGTTGTCTATGAGCAAATAGTCAACTCGGCTTCGCCTCGTTGACTATTCGCTCATAGACAACTCCGCCTCGTTGTCTAATTGTTAAATAGTCAAGGATCTTTATATGAGTTTGTATGCATTTAATTTAGGACAGGTAAACTGTTTTAGGGTAAGTTGCCCATGGCGGTCAAAATGGTAACGCTGCCCGAACCACAACACAGGGCGAAACATCCGAAACTGACCACGCCCAAAAAGGCTTTGACTAATCTGAGTTGCATATATGGTTCAGAGATGGTGCTTTTAGGTGTGGTCATTGGTAAGTTGATACCTAGCACTAATACTTTACAAGAGAATGACCATGCAGTACCCATACACAAGTGTCAAATTGTGGCTTACAACTTCAAATATTATCACTGTTTGGTGTAAAAAAGTTAATATTTTTGGTGACTGAAATATTAATTTGAAATTTACTTACTTCCTGCAAATGGACGCATTTCGCCGAATTCCCAAGTTCACTCCCGTGTTTATCAGCGAAAATCGTTTGAATCCTTTCGAATATGAAAGCCGGTCGAGACATAATAATATCATTGACATTTTTAACAAGTTTCCAGAAGTTTTCAAGCAGAAATTTTACATGGTGGTAAAATGCTGTATTTGTCATATTTTATTTATTCATATTTTTAATTTCAAGTCCGTTATAAAGGTCAAATTTGTTAATTCTGAAAAAGATTGGGGGATTGTTAACAACCGACCCGGGATGACACAATGGCGCCGTATTTGGCCAAAGTTAGGGTTTTACATTGTCGATGGTTAAACTGTTGAAATCTACTTGAAAACTTCTGGAAACGTATTAAAAGGGTAAATGATATTATTATGTCTCAACCGTCTTTCATTTTCAAAAGCATTCAAACGATTTTCGCTAATAAACACGGGAGTGTACTTTGGAATTTGGCGAAATGCGTCCATTTGCAAGAAGTAAGTAAATTTCAAATTAATATTTCAGTCACAAATTATTAACTTTTTTACACCAAACAGTGATAATATATATTTAAAGATGTACGTAATTATGTTTTAGTAAAAAATATTTATAATAATAATGATGCATGTTTAATAAACCGTATTGCAGTAGAAACTGAATTACACGGAATGAATAATTAAAACCTAATGTCCAACGTATAAGAAAAATATTAACATATTAAAAATATTTAACAGTTATAAAGTTTTTGAAACGTTCGGTGTTCGCAAAGGGTCTCGTTGATGATTCATGTCTTAAATTATAATTATGACCACCAAGGTAGTTCTTTGCATCGAGAATGTAAGAGAGTGAATTATCATTATTAAGTTGTTCAGCGTTTCTCAATTTATGAACAAATTCCACGCAAGCAGTATTTCGACGACTTTTAAGATTATCCAAACCAGAAAGAACCAAAGCTTCATGATACGTGGCAAAAGGGAGGATAATTTTAATTGCTCTCTTTTGGACTGACTCTAGTAGGACAGATAAATACTCGGTTAAGTCGGACCAGGCGGCAGAGGCATATTCGACCACAGATCTGACCATGGAGCAATATATATGAATGAGATCTTTCTGGCACAATCCACTCTTTTAGTAAGCGCAAGCATATAAAGCATATAAACGGGAATTAGCTTTTTTTAAGATTTTCTCAATATGGCAATTTCACGTAAGATCATCTGACAGAAGGATTCCAAGTAGTTTAAAAGAAGTCACTCTCTCAACACAGAGGCCAGATATATAAATTGGATGAAAATTAGTTGTACTATATTTAAGAAAGGATACGACCATTTCTTTACACTTCTTTGGATTTAATTGCATCCCTCTAATGCTAGCAAAACTGGACATTTCATTGGCAACGAGTGGTAAATAACTCATTTGGGAAAAAAGGCAGTGCAGATCCACTGCTGTTTATTTGAAGTTGTAAGTCACAATTTGATACTTGTGTACGAGTATTGCATAGTCATTTTCTCGTTAAGTATTAGTGCTAGGCATTTTCTACTTACCAATGACCACCCCACCATCTCTGAAACGCACCATCTCTGAAACCCTTTTAATTAAATTATAGTTAAGTGTTTAAAAAAAATTTTCGCATAAATCTGAGGTAAAGAGAATTATATACAATATTTCATGCTCATACAGTTAGACGTTTATTGTAGAGTTTCTCAATATGTACACCGTCCTTCCACTAATGCTAGATCGATCTCAAAGGAGGAGATTGGTCGATGAAAAGAAGATCTAGCCCTACGCATAAGCAGCTCAGATTAGTCAAAGCTTTTTGGTTTGGCAGTTAGCACTATAGTGAATGAGCCATTTTTTTGGGTGTGGTCTGTTTCAAATGTTTCGCCCTGTGTTATCGTTTGGGCAGCGTTACCATGTTGAACGCCATGGTCAATTTACCTTAAAACAGTTGCGGTTAACTGTCCTAAATGAAATGACTTGACTATAAATAGAAACACGCTTCTCGACCAATCTGCACGCGCGTACTATAGATGTTGTATTATAAAGCATAATAGTTGCGAGACGAAAGTGATCACAGAGACAGAGTGGCCAAAAACGACATTCAGAACATCAATGTCGTAAGCTTAACATCATACGCATTTACCAGCCATCGCGGGAAAATTTTTAAAAAACAATTTTTCAAAAATCGAGTTTTGTAGGCGTCCCCCCTCTAAATATGGCTATAGTTGCGGTCCTGAAATATTGAAAAATGTGACAACTATTTATTAATTACGCGACATAAGGGATCATAATCGTTTTATTTTGCTTTATCTTTTACAGCTATTTGTCCCCAGTTTTGAAAAATGATTAGGTGATCCCCTTCTCTCCCCACATCACACGCCTGTGGTCGTGACACGAATCGCATGCAAACAAAATACCATCCCAAAATACAGCACGTTGATAGATTCCTTCCGTTTAATTTTTAGTCTCCATAATCCATATTTTAGTTGATTCTTTTACTTTATTTAAACACTGTCGAAAAGAAACTATATCGCAATTCGCGCCTTTGCATCTTAAACAGCCCCGCAGGAATCCTTAAAGGTAGATTACAGTCGGTAATATAAACAAACGCTGTGTTTACATATTACATCGCTATATCTCTTAAAATATCCTGTCCTATCGGAATAATTATTACCATTTTAGTCAGGGGCGGATCTAGGATTTTTCAAACATAAGTCCAAATTGGGAAATTTTGAGAAAATTTTTCTAATCGGCAGAGCGGAATTTTGATTATTTCGGCTCATTTTAGGGTTCATCACAATGCCCAGGAAAGACATACTAGATTCCGGTTATTAACAGAGCTGGCGAGGGTCATATTTCAAAACACACAACTTCGTACTCCCATATATTATCCCCTTATGATAGCAATAGTTGATTTAACACAAATTAAACAATATCCTCAAATGAAATAAACAGAAATATTTCCATTGCTTCGCGTAAGATGCTTAGGCGTGCAAGAACTTTACAAAACCAGGCTAATCATAACAAACATAATATGCTATAAATAGTCGCGAATATTATAATATGCATCGCAAACTTCAATATAATGCAAATCATCAAACACTCTAACGAGTGTTGACTGTTGAGTAAGTAGGCTTATCCATTCTAGTGCATTTTACGACGGGATAAGTTTTATAACCATAATATTATGAGCATACGAACTAGGAAGATTATGATATATAAACTATATTGATAATTGATCAGGTTTATACACAACAAAGCGGCATGAAATCAATAACTGTGAACGAACTTGTCACATGGAACACTCCTAAATCATTATATTTTTAGGTATATTGCCATATTTCTTATATTATATCCATTTTAAATGTTTCTCTTACCAACACAGTCTTAGTTTTCATGTTCAGCAGGGATATCGTGATTAATTCCCTCGTCTATTGAAGTCTAACATCAACAAATTGCTCGCATGAAATCGCTGCTCCACGATAAAGTTAAAATCCTGCTTCGAATGTCCGCGTATTAACAGAATTTTCCAACAATAAAGTTGTAATCCTTCGTATAACGGAATATTGGAAGTAAAGAGCCTGGCTTCGTTTGCATTTTGCAATTTTGCAATTTTATCATTCTGAAGACAGAGCAATCGAACCCCGTTTAAAGTTCAAGTCAGTCCGGCCACCCCGCAAATCAGTCGAGATAAGTCCGGTAAATTCAAACTGACCAATCGCAATGCAAGAAATGGACTGATTTGGCCCCCTTAAGGATGCAAATCAGTCCGGCCACCCCACAAATCAGTCGAGATAAGTCCAAATGGCTTATCGACCAATCAAATGAGCCGGCTGACCCACCCGATTCTGCGAGTTTTTTGCGTTTTACCGCTGCTCTGGATGAAAGAATATTGCTTTTTTGAAACTGAACGCTGTAACTGGACTATGATTTTAATTCTTATTACAATCTTGAAAGGGTTAATTATTCATATTTCAAGATAAATTTGAATATTTAATTATCATTTTTACTGCCAAAAATACGTAAGTCGCGCGACTGACTGGACTTACCCTAGATCCGCCCCTGATTTTAGTTCACTATATTTGTAAATTAGTAACAGATACAGCTCAAAGAAATTCAAAACATACAAAATTTGTGTAATTTCTAAATCATGGACTTTATTATGTTATGAGCGGAACCGACACGCAGAAGCCGTTGTGACCTGTCTTTAAATGTTGTTTTTTAATCTTTTTAAGCACTAACGCTGTTCAACAGCATCAATCACATTTATGGAGCAATTACGGAGTTTTGCACCGCAACCACATGCCCAACGATGACTGCTGGCACAGTGTAAGTGATGTGAAATTCGCTGGCTATGTTCACTGAAGATGTAAACGAATATAGATTTCATGGACGTTTTCGCAGAATTCGCGCTATATTAATCGGCTTTTGGCTCACCTTGTTTAATTAAACTCTAATATAATAAGGAGGAAATTTCTTTTAAACCAATCAGCAAATTTGTTTGCATTTTAGAATATAACCAATCAGAATGCACAACTATTGAAATATTTACCATTTTATATACATGAAATATTAAAAATTGGGGCAGTTTGCCGATTGGTTCCAAAATTCCTCCTTATTTTCGAAGATACCTTAGTGCAACAAGTATCAAGGTGAATTTAGCACCGGAAAGTGCATTGATATTTCCAAACTGTTAACAATCAGCATGCAAAATTTGCATTTTATTACGAATATAAGCAAAATAATACATCATTCGCATACCGCGTATACAGGGTGTTTGGCTTAATAGATTGTTTAAACGGGAAATGGTTTATTCCCATCATTATGCGAGTTCTTTCCAATAATCTGATGAAAAATTCTGATGAAAACTTTGGATAACAAGGTTTTTATGAACTGAAATTTGGTGTCTGTAATAATGCATTCTAAATCAGGCTCTATTCGCCGCTCTTTTAGCTATAGCGAATAACCACGAATACAAACTGTAAACTAAGCTGCAAGGCCTCAACACGTGTTATTTTCTCCTATAGCACCTAATTTGTGTAGGTAATCATGCAATGTTGTTCGCACAATTTGGGGTTGATGACTGATGATTTAGGGGCTGTTTACATGAGCCCGGTTACCCGAGATTCATCGAAGCGTGAGATGATTTTGAGGTATTAAAATGAGCAAATAACATGATCCTGGCAGTCGTACAATCACCACAACAATAGCATGAGCTTGTTTGGTGTCATAACGACTTATTTCAATACCTGAAAGTCCTCTCACGCGTCGTTGAATCTCGGGTAACCGGGCTCATGTAACAGCTCCTTAAAAGTTTGCCAATTTTGTCCAATGAACATTTAGTATTCATTACGTAATTTTGCATATTTTATAGCATGTACAGTTGGTACGGACGCAAGGGCAAAATATCGGCACCCCAATATATTGATCTAGTGATGACACATATACAAAAACATGTTGAAGATGAATCCTGTTTTCCGTCAAAATATGGTAAGATGTCTGCTAAGGTCTAACAACAAGAAGTTTTTTTGAAGGGATTTCTGCCATTTTTGTTTTACCTTTCTCGCAATGGCGGATATCTACCAATTTTAGGATTGCTAAACGCGTGTAAACAAATATAAAACAATAAAAAGCATTTTTAGAATTAACAATTAAGAGGGAAGGGGGGAAAGCACCACCTGATGTATAGTGCAAAACGTCGGTCGCACATAAACCATTTGTCGTCTCTGTTTGTGATGTTACGAAACCTTTATTGAAGCAAGAAATATGATACTATACACTGTTCTGGGGCAAAAAAGACAGTCGAGAAGGCTTTGGCATATAAGCATTTCTAATGCTTATCGAATTACATGATAATGCATCCATCTTCATCGTCCTGCAGTACGTGATGTAAAGTGGTTCACCTAACACGAAATACCTAATTAGAAACGAATCCAGATGGCAAGGGTCGTGGAACATGTTTTATTTAGTTTTGAGGAGATTAAATTTCTGACTGTATGGTCATAATTTGAAAATTTTTAAATATGAATGTAATCCATATTAAATACGAATGGAATCCACATAGTTTATATTTCCGTTTTGACGCACAGATAACAAAAACAAGTTAAATACATTTCTATGAAAGTTCTTATTCAATATATTCTTTTCGAAATTTATCATTTTGTTTGTATAAAAATTATTATAGCTATTTTTACTCCAAAAGGCTATCGCCTTCTAGCTCGCCCCCCTCGCCTTTTCTAGACACTTATATCCCTGTGGTATTTTTGCCTGGTACAGCGCTTCTGATCGACTTTTATACTTTTTCAAACTTTCCCATTCTGTAGGCTCGAAATTTCCCGCCAGTTTTGGCACGTCAGTAAAGAAATTCATCAAGCTGTTGCTACATGTTCTTGGACATTTATACTACAGTCATATCGCGGATGTCAGTGAATTGCAGCTTAATCCATATCTAAATACTGTTTTTATTCATTTAATGTATTTTGACAACAGATTTTCGTTACTAGAAGCAAAAGACACCGTGCCTTTAGACGATTTAGCCCAAGCTATGAATCTTAATCTTGATCCGATACAGAGTTAGAAAACAAATAATATATATACATATATAAATATTGGAAAGTTCATAAACAATATAATAAAACTGTTTTTTCTTTATATATCTACTGGAAATTTATTGTTGTTCCTTCTCGTTTAGCCTAGTCCTACCTTCAGAAAATAATTGGTTGTAGTAATTTTTTGTTGTAAAGGAGGATTCTCTTTAATACTTGTTCCAAAGATTAAATTTATCGCTTTTTGAGCATTTTTAGAACGGTTGAAAAATTACTCTCCTGTGGGTAGCGCTATTTAGTCATTTATGTAGTATTTAAAACACGAGTAGGAATGTTTTATGCGGTATAAAACGCGAGAGGCAGCCGAGCGGTTTATAGCGCATAAAACACGAGCTACGAGTGTTTTGAATAGCTTAAAATACGACATTAATATTCAATAGACGTTGCGACCAATCGGATTGAACATGAACTTTATATAAAGCCACATGTGTCTTTATATAAAACAGTGTCCTGATAGTGCTTTATCGAGTATAAAAGCCTACTCACGTGTTTAAAAAGGTTCATTGGATTGGTCAAAACGTCTATTGAATATTATCATTTAAATATATATAAAGAAGTTCGTCTTGGAGGCAATGCATGAACATAAGACAAAAGATATCAAACAACACTAAATCTAATCATTTTGCGCAAACGTTTTCGCTTTATTGAAAGCCCCTCAGGTGCTGAATACTTTGTAAGAAATGAGCTGTGATATCCTATATTTACATATTATACTAGTTTGCCACTACGTAACTACACGTGTGGTTTTGGATTATTTACTGGTAATTATTTACATAAATATTTCACAGAAACAAAGATATGAAAATATATAACAAAATCTTACATAAACTGGTATTATTAGGTATTAACATGTATTGTCCTATGTAGGTATTATCCTATGTATGTATAACCGCTAGGCCTATAATTTATAAGTTGCCAAATTAAGAATTTCTGGGGAGGACAAATCACGTATTGCACAGACTGTTTGGAAATTTGGTCCCCCTCGATAACATACTTTATACTCTCAATATATATATATATATATATATATATATATATATATATATATATATATATATATACATATATATATATATATATATATACACCCGTTTGCAAAAACGTTGGCCGCAGATAGATATATAGATAGATACCCGAAATCTAATTAGAATTGCATATGTTGTGTAATATGATTGAAATCCCATGCAAATGTATTCATATGCAATTATAATTAGACTTCGAGTATCTATCTATCTATCTATCTGCGGCCAACGTTTTTGCAAACGGGTGTATATATTATATATATTATATATATATATATATATATATTATTATATATATATATATATTGAGAGTAGAATAAAGATATAGTAAAATAGTAAAATAGATATAGTTTTGAAATCGCGAACTTTTGACTCAATATTCATTTCAAGTTTCTGAACCTAATATGAAATTCGTCAGATTAACAACCACACTTTAGCAAGCGATGACAACATGCATTGGCGAAAGTGTTAATGTGCATGCGGCTAACATTTAGGGAGTAATTAATACAAATTTGCATAAAAACGTTTAAAAACAATCGGCAAACACAAAAACAGGTAACATGCACCATATAAAATCCGTCAGTGCTGTTTGTAAGTTGTAACTCAAACAAGAGTACAGCTAGATAGACTTTTATACACTTAAAACTTTTATGCACTTAACGGTTCTCTAGCTCTAAAATGGTAAGGTAAACTGTTTTTAGAGGGGGGCCAAATTTCCGAAGGGGGGGTCCAAATTTCCTAGGATATTTGGCCCGGGGGGGCCATATTTCCTAGGAAATTTGGCGCGGGGGGGCCAAATTTTCGGGGGGGCCAAATTTCCTGTGACACCGGCTGGAGTATAGTTATAATGTCTCTTTCCCAGGATTATTATTTCGTAATAGCACAAGACAAGTTAAGTCATTTGAGGTAAACGACTAAATTTTTAATAGCAAACATGTTTCGGCTTACACTAAGCCAACTTCAGTGCGAAGTGGGCTAAGAATATTTACAGCAGGATGTGTGATACAATAAAGTGACATATGATACAAATATTAGATTACAATAACAAATACATGTGTCAATTATTATTTACAAAAGTGGGTTTTTATATTTACAAAATAGGGTCAAGTATATTTACCAGTTGAAAATGGTATTAAAATGCTGTATTTGCTTATTGAGATCTGGTTTCAGTTTTTTGATGTAGAGAGCTTCTTTGAGTTTGAGAGAGAACTGAGATTGTGCATGGTCTAATACGCGGAAGCAGGATTCAGTGTTTGCAGCTTTGCATTGTGGTGAATTGTGGAGATGTTTGTATATGTGCGAGTTCTTATCAGAGGTGGTGTGTTCCTTAATGCGTGTGATTAAATGACGAGTGGTTTCGCCAACATAACGGGCATTACATCCCGCACATGAAAATTCATATACTACGCATGATTTTAAGGGTGGAAGGAATAGGGTCTTTAAAACAAAATAGGTTTTTGATTTTAAAAGAAGAATAAATGATTTTGAAGTTGATATATCAGTGTAGAAGCGTTTGATCAGGTTGTGTAGTTTCCGTTTAGTAATCTGTGAGTGATAGCCGATGTATGGCAGTTTGAAATAGTAGGTGTTCGCATCGTTAGTAGCCTTAGGTTGTGTTGTAGGTTGATCAGTAGAGTTAATAGTTTTGTGTGGGTCGGTTTTGTCGTTGTATTGTTTGATGACATTGTCAATAAAATGGGAAGGATTGGAGTTGCGTTTGAGTGTGTCAATTAACGCGTCAACGTCACGTTGGTAGCCAATATATGCAAAATCAACAACACATCTATTGGCTACCAACGTGACGTTGACGCATTCACCTCAGGCCAGCTCGAGTCCAAGTTATATTGACCTCACAGAATGTCCCTACATGTGGCCATATTTTGTTCAGCCACTCTACGCATTTGGTCTTCCTGTCATCGTCAACGTAAGTGGCAAAAGGGACATTAAGTTCTCTCCATAGCATGGACATTGACGAGTTAGACAGTCAGTCAGTGCAGACATCATAAACCATACGATACAGTATATTGGACGAACAGCAGAAGGACTGATTGCATGTTTACTTGACTACTCTGTATTGCCGTAAACACTTTTCTACAACTAAAAGAGCTAATTAACCTGGTTCCTCTAGACGGGTCATACGTCCCTTCAAATTTACGAAGGCCTGAGTTGTTATTTCAAACCGAACAGGATTTCGTCTTTTTCTTCTTTTCGATGTTGACAAAGGATGGTCCGTTAAAAGATCATTCACGTGCTTTAGTGCATCTTCCGTTGTCAGGTTTTTCTTCTTCTTTAAACGCACAGGCAACGCCATTTCGACGACGGTCAATCAAAACCAGTTCACTGATCAAAACTACTCACAACTCGTTGTCGGCCATGTTGATAACAAAATACTAGCATGTCCTGCGCATACGTTTCGGAATTACAATATGTTTTGCGCATGACTTGAATTCATGATTATCATGAATATAAATGAGAGTTAACATTTAATGATAATCATGAATTCAACTCGGGGATCGTGTTGAATCTTAATGATATACAGTTATGGAACTCGCGGCGGAACCCTTTGATGTTGCTGTCTGGTGTCTACGCCATTACACGTGTTACGCGAGGCTTCATTATGTTTAGTTACATGCATATTAAAATAGTATAAAAATAGGAAAAATCACCTGCCATGAATGGATGAGTAATTGATTATTGCCACAAAATGCATGGGTAAAATATAATTTTTGACCTTTCGCAAATATCAATTATTTTTCCTTCTGCAAGCTTGACAGTTTGAGTGAATAATTAATGTAGTATTAGTCTTAGTGTCGATCAGTTTGGCTAATCTGTCATTATTAGGAAAACAGTGGGTTTGGGTAAACATGTAAAGTAGAATAAATAGTTACGTTATAAAATAAGGTTCACAGAAACAATGTTTGATCATTTTAATGCTTGTTGATGATAAATATTTTAAGTTGTGAACATTTGAAAGTATTGATCGATAGGGCTAAAGACCAACTCGACTAGTGCGACAACGCCTTATATATAAACAAGATATGAGAGCTGGAACGAGCTTCTAACGCCAACCCACATTTCTAACTTACAACGCTGATTGGTTGGATAAGGATCAGTCCACTCTGGTTGATGACGTCTGCAAGTTTCCCTCCACCGTTACTATAAAAGGGCGTGCACAACACACGAACCTTCAGTGGACACAAGAACTTCGGACTGAACCCCGAAACGAAGTGGACCAACAGAGTGGACTAGCGGAGTAAAAAGCATATGAAACGTTAGAGAAGCTCAACCTTTACAGAACCAACGACCTAAGACAAGAACGCAAAACGGCGAAGATCGAGAAGTATAAAAGAGAAGAACGAAGAAAGAAGAGAACATTAATGAACATTGGTTAACCTATTGTAAAAGATCTCCTACCTCGCGTAAATAGAATTAAAAGTATTTAACATTTAGTGCAGGATCGGCCTTACAAAACGTTTCGGAAACTCAATCAGTCCACTATATACTCAGAAGAAGTCAGAACAATCAATATTACAAACATTGCTTAGAAACGGGTGCTGAAGCGACCTGATGACTGGTTCGAAGGAAACGCACGCTCTGTATTCATCAATACTTCTACTTATGGCAATGCTAGACTTTGTTTCATTTTTTGGTTGTCTCTTCCAGACAACTGTCCACAACCTCTACACTTCCGATGAACTACAATTGAAACTACAGTCGTTTTGCCTTCAGTCTGCAGTCAATGACAAGTTTGACGACATGTACTCCCTCTATCCTAATGTGATGGCTATGCCAGAAATCCAGCTAAAGAGGCACCCAGGGGCGCCGGAGCCACAGGGGTAGCGCGGGGGCAAGTGGTTGCCCTTTTCACACTTCGAACAAATAGACCTATGTCCTAATTCCAAATTTGTAAGTCTCGCATGCACATACAAACACCCTATACGAGATTAAACTTCTAAAACATCATACATATCCGTGCACAA